TTAACATCTTTATAACAACAGATACCCAGCCTGATATTTTAATTAGATGTAATGGAAAATGTCCATTTTTCCTTTTCTGGTTATATTTGAAGTCCAGCCTGGAAAACATAAAATTAAGTAGCTGAAAGTGGAAAAATTCTGATTATTTGGATTTGTGAGTACAATATAATAAGCACCTTTTTAATTAAAGAAAACTTTTAAAAAGACAAGTACTAAAAAAGAGGATGATCCACTAAATCTTATCAAACATACTTGCAAAGCCCTTGTGGTGTTTGCGTGTTGAGTACTTGAAAGCCTCTCAGCCATATACCATAATTAAAATTTAGAAAAAGTGCCTTTTGCCAATAGAAGCTGTCATCCAGGTCCAGTGACATACTTTTATACCTTTTTCCCCCCTCAGATTCAGTCGCTGAAAACTTGAATATAATATTCCTGCATTCAGTAGTACCCCGAGAGAAGCAGTGGCATGTGGGAAAGTATGTTCTTTATTGTCTCAAAGATCAGTCTCAAGGGAGAGAAAGCAGTTTTTTAGGGAGCAAAACCTTGATGTTATAGATGGAGATTGTGTTATTTGAAACAACAGAGTTTGCCAGCAGAACGGTGGGTGTAGGTGCAGTGATACCTGTCCGGTCTGCTCTGCTCTATAGACCACCTCACCACATCCCTTGCAAGGCCACCCATTAGAAGAACTGCACCCAAACTGGGAATTTCACCAACGCAACAACGTCAGTGTAGATAACGTATACTGTGGCAAAGGTCTAAAATATGTCAGACAGTGTCATGTAAGGTGGGCAAAGGTCTAAATGTGTTGAACGTGGTTATGTAGCACAGCCAAAGGTCTAGGTATGCTGAATGGTGTTAGGGTAGAGCTGGCCTCAGATGCCCAGCTGACTTTCCTTCTGTGTTGGGATGCCTGCTACCCAGGATTTTGGTATCTGCTATATATAAATACATTGTGGAAACCAAATACCGTGGGATATTATAGATGACAGAAGTGTATGTAGGTTCAACAACAACATAGAAAAAGAAAATATATGAATGGAGGCCCTACCCCCTGGCAATTCATCAGGTGCAAATTTCAGGAGAGGAGGTGTCCAAGCAGCCAGTTGGTCCTTCTGAGACGTAATCTCAGCTTCCAGTAACCGGATTGTCCTGCTGGAGTACTTGGTTTCTCAACCAGAAACAGGATATGGACTTCAGAAGACAGAGCTTGCCTTCTGTCTCATCGGGACATGACTACCTTCCTCTCTTCACTTGAGCAACCACCAAGAGGCTTACGCAGGCAGTACATAGGGCAGAGCGTGTGTGTGTGTGGACATGTTCTGGCACTGTTTCATCAGTCTGAACAGGTTTACGTTGCCCATAAAAAAAAAAGTGTTGAAGCAGCAATTAATGTGTTGTCTTTTACTTCTGTGAATATTTATTTCAAAGTAACATTAAAGTATGGAACGAGTCCTGCAGCATTAGCTGGTACATTACTGCTGCAGGATGACTGCTGACATTTTAACCAGTTTTAAGTTACAGTCTTGTTCTTCGGAAATGCTTGTTGTAACAAAGTCCCAGAGGGGGCAGCTGGCCATCTTCAGTTGAAAAATGAGGCACAATCTCAAGGAATTAGCCCAGTGCTTAGACACATGTTTGAGAGTGAGGACTCTATGGAAAAGGGACTTTTGGGGAGGGCTGGGAGATGGAGTGGAAGTAGCAGCAATTTTGTGTGTCCCTATGCTTCCTTACAGAATCATAGAATCGCTTTGGTTGGAAAAGACCTTTTAAGATCATCGAGTCCAACCTTTAACCTAACCCTGCCATCCCACCACTAAACCATGGCCCTAAGCACCTCATCTATCCTTCTTTTTAAATACCTCCAGGGATGAGGACTCAACCACCTCCCTGGGCAGCCCATTCCAGAATCTGACGACCTTTTCGGTGAAGAAAGGGTTTCCTTAGAGTAAAATTTTTGATGTTGTTATTTGGGCAGTTCCCTTATTCTTCTGCAAGTCTGGGAATAAAGGATTATTAGAGAATTAATTACTCTGGTTGGCATAACCAGCTCATGTTAAAGTCCTGACTCTTAAACATGTTTGCTGCTACATGCCTTTCTAACTGAGGGATCAGAGGCTTAGCTGTAAATATGAGGAAGGCTCAGGGTAAAGCTGAGTATACAGGGTATTAACCTGAGGTCACTTAGCTCAGTGAAAGCTTTTTTGCTCTGGGGTTTTCTTTTTCATTCAAACCTTGTTCTGCCCTCTGCTGGCAGTTCTGTTATGAAGCTGAGACGGTGTTAAGTTATATTCACGGTAAGTTACCTGTGCTAGCTTGCAGTCTGCTTTACCAAACAGAATTTGAATTACTGTCATTAATCAAATTTCTTGCCACAGGTAACTGCTGTGCCCGTTACATTTATAATGTATCCTATATGAAGATGTGTAGCAAATACGCTAATTTTTGCCTTAAAAAAATCATCCCAAGGTACAAGTTATTACCCAGGGAATAGTTATTCTGTCCTTCAAAGCTTTATTTACTTTCTGAAGGCAAGCAAATTTATGGGTTTTGGCAGCCAGGCTGACTCATGAAATCAAGTACTTGCATTAAGAATGCTACCCTTGCTGCACACATATGCATTTGATGCCTGTACTTATTAGATTGTGTACTGTTTTCCTCCACGCAGTTTTTTGCACGTTGGTGTGTTGCACATGTAATGAGCAGCAATTCCATGTATTTGTTGTTTCACCTGTGACATAGCCAAGCGTCCTGAGTGCTAGTCTTCAAGACATACTTTGGATTGTAGTTCTGTCTACTTTCCTGTTTCAGAAGAAATGAAGCAAGAAGCACTAATCACTTTGAACTTGATTCACGTCTTGAGGAGGTTCATCTTATGCACTGTATAAGTGAAGGGACCTAAAAAGGAAAAAAAATGCGTAATATATGCGTGAAGGAGGCAAAACAAGGATTGTGCACTGCTTCAATTCTGATACATCCTCATTTCTTATCTGGCATTACAGCCTTGATCTTCTTTTAATATTACCTGGGTGGGGTTGAGACATCCAAACTCTTGAGAAAGCCAACCTGAAAAATTGTGCATCAGCTTTGGTTAGCTGTGGCAGTTTTGAGTAAGGCTGAAGCTTTTAGGTCCACTTCTGCCAGTTGTGTTCATGAAGCAATCAAAGTGGAGCTAAGTTTGCTGTAGCTTTATTGACAAGCATAACAGGAGGTATTTTTGCCAGTGGGTTTCATAGAGAGTTGCTGAAAGTAGGAGAGGGATGGGAGTCAGTGCAGGATTTTGTGGACTGTCTTGCGGTTTCTCTTTCCACCCTTCCAGCTTACCCCCATCCTGGTTTCCATACTCCGGTTTCTACCTTTCTATCTGAGTTGCTGCAGAAGACCTTAGCTCCT